GAGGAGAAAAGAAAGTACTGATTAATTGACTGTTAAGCTTTTTGTTTTTACCTGATTCAGGTAGAGGTCCTTGTTAAAATATGTGGTGATGTAGTTAAAGGTTATTTTCTAATGCATGTATGTAAGTAGGTTAATTACGATTGCACATGGAACACTGCTTGTGATACTGCCCAACTTCAGTGTTTTGCAGAGTAGATAATATTATTGTGATATTTTCCACTTATAACTTCCTAGACTTAAATCATTTATCTTTATAGATTACTTTTTAATATCAATTTTATATTGATACAGTAATCTTCTCAGAGTTGGAAGACTCTTCACTTTCCTCTTTTCTTTCTATAGCATAGATATCTCCATTTCAGCCAAAAATAGAACTGCTGGTACTAGTATCCTTAATTACATTGTGTAGTCGGTAAAGCAGTCATGGTAGGCATTTTCCAGTGGGGCATTGTTTGCTGACAGCATTTCTTTGTGACTTGGAAATCAGCTTCTTCACGTCTTCTCCAGTCACTACTGGCTCCATTAGTACTCTCTTCATTCTGATTTCTCCCTTGTCCTGGCTTATCCCTGATGTGAATTGAGAGTACAGGGGAAAGATGCCCTATATTTGCTTCTAACTGGCACTTTATCATTAAAAACGAGTAGTTAAAGCAAATTCTGGGGCATGCTCTGTGTAGACAGATGTGTTGAGAGAATTTATCTGTGTACTTGTTGGACTAATATGCACATGGAAAATTTTCAAAAGCCTGTTGCTTGTCTGCATTTGGATAGATTTGCACAAGAGCAACAGTAAAAGATACAAACTGATGCTAAGGCCTCCTGTCACATTTCAATTATCAATTTTCATATAGGAGGTACTACTTAGACTTTTTTTTTTTTTTCAAAAGTAGTAACATAAAATATTTTCCTGTAACCTTGTTTTGGAAATGTTTGCATCATTTCTTCTGAAGCTTCCCCAAATATATTAGGCAATTGTATCAGAAGGTAAACTTAATTTTAGCAAAACTTTTAGCAGCTGGAAACAGGAGCTTATAAGGGCAAGTAATGGGCAACATAGGGCTTCCAGCTTTGTCAGTGCTGTGTCTCAGTGTGATGTAAGGTTTTTAAATGTTATTATGTTAACATATTCTTGAATAAAATTTGTTGTACAGTAATAGGATAATTGTGTACCATTAAAATTATACTATTTTCAGTCTTAATGTGGAGGACTGCAGTGCTTAAAAGTCAGAATTTCAGGCAAATATTGGGTTTAGTTCAAATCTGAAACAGCTTTTTGTTTCTCTGTAGGATCAGTGTCTCAGTACTTGTTAATAGTTTAGCTGGAGAAAACAGTTGGCTGTTTTCAGTTACAGGCAAATAAAAAAATGCAGACTGTAGATTGCTCAAATGTGAGGTTATTAAGGATTTTTGCTTACAATAACATTACTGTATCAAAATTATAATCTTGGCAGTGTTTCTCTAGACATATTTGAAATCGGTTACACCCATCTTTTGGCTACATAATGCAGGGCTTTAGTTCTTAGGACTGAATTATATTTACAGGGATGATGCAGCCAATTTCCCTGTTGCTACATCATGTGTTTCAAATGACTTATTACCCATGTGTTGATCCTTACACACTGGTTGCTGCCTCTTGAAATTTATAGTCCTTCAGCATAAAAAGCTGCTTCTTGTGTAGACAAGGAAACATTTTGCAGTTGCAATAGATGTCCCAGCAACTGACTTCCAGGTATCTAGAATGAATTGTTGCTTTAAATGATCAAGTCTTAATGATGAAATGTTTATTAGGATGTTGAAAAATTACAACACAATACTGTCATATTAGGAAAGACTAATAAACCAAAATGTTCCAATAAAGCATTTAAGGTTAATTTTTCTATGGAAGAAATAATAATATTTTTCATAAATACTTTATGTAGTTTGCACTGGAGTGAGACAGGTCCATCTGTACTAATATCCTGTTCCCCATAAACAAAGGCTAGGTAAGGAAGAGAGGTTATTAACTACGGTGATACCAAGTGAAACCTCACCAGAGCACACTCCCAGCCTCTCAAAATGCACAGTGCATGCAGTTACTGAGTTAGAAGTGGAGTTACTGCATTTAATAGGCGTGATATTTTTTTATTCCATGAGTGCTTATTGCCTTTTGAACCCAGTGTAACCTTTTAGTATCCGTAACATTTCGTCGCAAGAATTATCATAACCTAAATTTACACTGTGCAAAGAGCCACTTCTGATGATGATTTTGCATCTGTCATATGGTAATTTAATTTGGTATTTCCTAGACAGTGAACAGTCTGTCATCCCCGTGTTGTTCAGAATGCTACAGACAGAGTTCTTAATACAGCAGTGTATTAAAAATATTGTTAGTGTTCATGAGGTTTTCAAGGTGTAATTTAATTGTCCATATACTGTCTATATAACTAAGCGTGCAATTCTGTATCAAATTTTTAATACACTTCTTTATTCTGATATTAAGTAACTGTTGCTACTGTATCCTGTTTTCAGCCAGTTTTGCTGTGCAGAATTTCAGCAGAGCTTTGATCAAAGGCATTGGTTTATTCTAAAGAATACTTTGAAATAAAATATGTATCTAGGTTGATGATTCGTCACAGTTGAGACAGCACTGTTTGAGAAGAACAACATTATTAACTTCACTAGAAATACTGATGGGCTTTTAACTACAAATGTGTTGCCAAGCTACGTGGCAATGATTGCTCTGTATAATACATTTTATAAAATTATTTCAGATAGCTTAATTTAATCTGTTTGTTGTCAGACTTTAGCACTTGTGGGAGGTTTGGGGTTTGTTTTTTTGTTTTTTTCCCTAGCTCAGTAATTATTGACCTACTTCTCGGTTTTATAAATAAAAATTGTTTTTCTCCTTTATTGACAGTCTACCTATGTAAACTAAAACATAGTATTTGAGTAAGAATTTTTTCAAATAGTTTATATCCTCTTAGGGGTTTTCATATGAATTTCCAATTAGAGCAGGAAGGACAAGTGGTGTAAATGTTGTTATGATAAGCAGATGGGAGACTTAAAAGGCTGTAAAATATAAGTGGAATGGGAAGCTTTGATATTGAACAGAATGCTTGCTGTCAAACATCCATTTAATTTACTTTTCAAAAGCTGTAATCTAGGCTAGCCATTTTTGATACTTCTTTTTTTTTCAAAAAAAAGAGATGGGAAAATGTCATTTGACCGAGTCTATCTTCTAGTTTTAAATTAGGTTAAATTAAAAATACAAATGTTTATTCAGCACCCTTGAAGAAAATCAACCGTTTTAATTATTAAACCAAGTTTTTGGTAACTAGATGTCTTTAAATTTGATTTCAGCAAGTTATTATTGTAGATTTAGTTTGTAGTCTTCATATTTTCTATGAATAAAGTATAGTAGAGATGCTGTATCACTTCTTCCGTTGAGTTGGAGAACATTAAATCGACCTAAGTTTCGTTTGAGGAATGTATTGTGATACAGCTGTGGAAAGATAATCCTCTTGTAAATATCACGGTACAAGAGGACATCTTGTTGTAATATATATTTACTTTTTTGTTAAGTAAATCTTTAGCATATTGAAAGTTTCTCATTTTTTTTCCAATTGAATTGTGGATTTTTATTTTTTTTTTAACTGAGTTGACAGCTCTGCTGGCTCGTTTTAGCATCTGCCATGATATTCTTTTGACTTGCTGTTTTTGTAAATATCTGTATTGTCATTTTCAGATGCAGTTTTGTCCTAACTTAGTCATCTTTATAAGTTTTCGTAATTTGCAATGTCTCTCCTTGATTGTAGTTTGCCTAATGGGGAAGTGCTGGCATTGTGGTCTTATTCAGTGCTGACATGTTAGTCTTGATTTTGAGAACCTTGCTGCTTTCTTGTGATTATGCAGATTGTGCTCAAGTTTGCTACAGGCTTAAGTCTACTTTACAGTACATTTGCTACCCTTGCATAATTTCACAAAATGACATGGAAATAAAAGAGAAGAGAAATGCCAGCTATTTGGTACTGAGAGAAACGCAGACTTATGTCTTTTTATTTTCTTTAGCTTTTGTTTTAGTGAATACAGAGTGATAACTGATGAATGAAATGATTGCTTTGGCTTACTTTTTTCTTAAAAAAAAATTTGGAAGACTTCTTAAAGGCTTTTTCCAGATATCAACTAAATAATTATTTTGGAGAGTGTTTTTAATCATATTTTTGTTCAGTGTCAAGTAGGCCATATTATGTCAAGAAGTTTTCAAGTTTTGTTTTCTTTTGTATTTTATGACATTCTTAAATAGCTATGATTTTTTTTTCTGTGTAAGTTTGTAGTATGTCATATTGTTTATTAGAAAATTAAGGTAAAGTTTTGTAGGAACACTGCTGTTTTTTCCATTTTGCACTGCTTTGTTTACAATTCTAAGTGTACATTGTTAAATTTCCAAGATATAAGGTTTAATGAGAAAATCTAACGTTAAATGAGAAGCAAAACTTCCTTTAATTTAAGCTTTCACCTAGTGCTGTACAGAGGATCTGAGCTTAAAACCAAATGAAGTAGTTCTTTTTTGCAGGAAAATGTAATGACACACATGCAGTTTACTTGCTATATTTTGTGCACATCTGGACACGTTGCTTATTGGTCATGATAGTGGAGCATTAATGTAGCAATTATCTTGATAATAAGCGGTCAAATGTTAAAAGCTTTCTGTCAACTTGACATATGACTTTGGCATTAACTAGCTGCTTGTTCATTTTGAAGCAGCTTACCTCCGATTAAATTTGCCTAGTTGCATGAAGCATCAAACTGTGTAAATCTGGAGTCTGTCACTTCCTGTGATTGCTGGATTCAGTACATGCTACTGAGAATACTGTATTTTCAGAGGCTTTTTGTATTCTGCTCACGGTGTTTGCGAAGCAGGGACTGTAGCTAAAAATAACTAAAATGAATTTCCCTGTCTCTCTTTCTTTCTCTTTGCAGGATGACGTAGCTTTGCCAAGGATTTATCAGCTAAGCAGAAAATGAGCTTAACATCCTGGTTTTTGGTGAGCAGTGGAGGCACCCGCCATAGGCTGCCACGAGAAATGATTTTTGTTGGAAGAGATGACTGTGAGCTGATGTTACAGGTAATTGCATCAGCCTTCCATGTGCAATTGCTCAAATAATGAACTTAGTGCACCAGTTTTATATTCCTTTTGAAAATTAAATTCCCTAGATGTTGGGGAATGATTGTTTAGATTAATCTTTTGTGTTCATAGAAACAGAAGTTTAAATATATTGCCATCAGTCATACAGTTAATGTCAAAGTGCAGAGGATCACATTTTCTTCATATAAGTCACATACAGAATACAAGATTAGAAGATGAAATAAATTTTACTATATGATCAGTAAAGTAAGTAGACTGTGTATTCCATGACATGTGCTAATGTTAAATGCACTGGATGGTTTTGGCTTTCTTTTTTCCGCAACTTGTAATCTAATTTAGTTACATGATGTGATGTAACTTTATCCTTATGTCCTGATCTTGCTGTACAAAGGCAAATGAAATTAGTAGAGAAGAGTATTTCTTTATCTCTAAGGAAGTTGAATGACTCAGTCTTAATTATGGTTTCAGTGGAACTGTAAAAGTACAAGTCTTAGTCAAAATAGTTTGATACTTCAGTAGCTTCCTCAACTTTCAGGGTCACTATGCGGAACTCTGAGCGGTGTGTGACTGTATTGTTATGTAGCCATATTGCACGCACTTTGCCCTAGCAAAGCTGTAGTCCTCTCAGCTGCTTCTTTCTGGTATATATATTTTTGAATGGATAAGTGGAGTATTTGGGAGTTTCTTCTTGATATCTTGTCTTTGGTTACTGTAAAACTCTTCAGAGCATTAAACTTCAAAACTGATGTTCTCAACCTTTTGTACCATTCAATAAAGTATTTTCTTTTGGATTTTTTGTTCCCAAGAGTTGTGTATGCAGCCATTAATCGTCAAATTAGAATTTCACGTGCAAATGAAGTGCCTAGAAACTTACTTTTATGTGTATTATTCAGAGTGTAATATCTCTAGTAAACTGCATTTGGCTCTCAACCTCAGAAGGTATCCAAAGGTTTTATTGGTGATGGAAATACTTTGTCCTGTTACACAGTAGTTGAAAATACTCTTAATTTCTTTTTAAAGACAGACAGTATCATGTCTTAGTGATTTATGAGGGAAATATTAAAAAAACCCCAAACGAACCAACAAACAAACATGAAAAACCCCCAACAACTAAAACTAAAAGAGCAGCAACCAAAAAACCCCACCCTGCTGGTTCCTACCAGCATTTTTTGATTCTAATCAAAAAGTGCTTTCATTTTACCATTAGCTTGTTGTATTTGGTGATTATCTCTGAATATGGGAGACTTTTCCTTCTCTTTCCTGTATGCCGTGTCCTTCTGTCCATGGTTGATCAGCCCTTAGAATGAAGCTGAATACTCAAGCATTTATTATTTTGTGTTACGAACTTCAGTCACCATCACCGTCTTCAAAAGTAGCTGCCTCTTTGATTAATATGAATAGATTCCAGTCGTTTAGAAATATTATTTGTTGTGTATTGACTTCAGAGGCAGTAAAAAGAATCAAGGGGCCTGGTGATTTTTCAAGAATATTCTCTTTAGCCTGCTGTTATTTTAGGTGTACATGCCAGCATGAATGTGGCACCACATACTGCTGAAGGGGGAAGAACCCACCAAAAAGAAGCTAATAATGTGTTCTTGTTCTGTATGTATAGCTCTTTGTGTAGGACCTTCCTTTCCACTCTTGACAACTTGGCTATTCTCTTACTGCAAAGCATGTGGACAATGCATGATAAAGAAAGCAGAATTTAATGCTTTTATTCATAACCTCTTGACAGAAGGCATGTTATAAAAAGCTTATTAAAAAGCGTTTTAACTCTTGATTTTAATTCTTGCATGCTTGATAGAATTAGACCTCAGATCTGTGTCTAACTAACCACTGTTCTTCTAAAAGAGATTTTGTTCATGTCTGGGAATACAGATTGACTTTAACTGGGTTATTTTGTAAATATGCTCAAACATAGCTTGCAGTCTTTGTATTTATCTAGCTGCTCCAGTGCATCATCCTGTCTGCGGATACCATGCTTCCCCTTCTTTCACCATTATGTTTAGAAAACTTTTTGAATCTTGATGGGGGAATCATCTCCAAGGTGAAAAATTCTACATTATTCATAATATCAAAATTATTTCCGAAGAAGAATACTCTTATCTTCTTTATTCTGAACATTTCCTTAATAGTTTGGATTGAATTGAAGAGCCTTTGTCTAAAATAATGCTAGTTACAAATTTATTTCAACTGAGGATGAAGTTTTCTTCTTTATATTCCTATAGCTCTTAGCACAGTTATTCTGTGATTATTGTTATTTCTGCAGTCATATATAAATCTTTGTACTGGGATGGAGTTAATTTTCTTTACAGAAGCACTTATAGTACTATGTTTTGGATTTGCGACCAAAACACTGTTGATAACCCACCAATGTTTTAGCCGTTGCTGAACAGTGTATGCAGAGTTTCAAGACATTCTCTCTTTCTCACTCCTCGTCCTACACACATGTGACTATGTTGGGGATACATAAGAAGTTGAGAGGGAACACAACCAAGACAGCTGACCCAAACTGACCAGAGAGATATTATTCTGTGCCATATAATGTCATGTTCAGCAATAAAAACTGAGGGAGGGGGCTTTGGGGAAGGTAATCACTGCTCAAAGACTGGCTGCATTGGTCTGCTTATGAGAGGTGGTGAGTGATTGCCTTTGCATCGCTTGATTTGTTTTATTTCTTCTTTCTTCTTCCTCTTTCCTTTGCTGCTTAAACTATCTTTAATTTGACCCATGAGTTTTCTTACTTTTGCTCTTCCTGTTCTCCTCTCCATCCCACTGGGGCAGGGGGGAGCGAAGGAGCGTCTGTGTGGTGCTTAGTTGCCAGCCAGGGCACCACAGTCTTATAAAAAGTAGTTCTGATAGTACTTAAATTTGAATGGAAGGCCGCAATGATCCGAGGGCTGGAGCACCTCTCCTATGAAGACAGGCAGAGAGAGCTGGGGTTGTTCACCCTGGAGAAGAGAAGGCTCTGGTGAGAGCTTATAGCAGCCTTCCAGTACCTAAAGGGCGTCTACCATAAAGATGGAGAGGGACTTTTTACAAGGGCTTGTAGGGACAGGACAAGGGGTAATGACTTTAAACTGAAAGAGGGGAGATTTAGATTAGATCTAAGGAAGAAATTCTTCCATCGGAGGGTGGTGAGGCACTGGAACAGGTTGCCCAGAGAAGCTGTGGATGCCCCCTCTCCGGAAGTGTTCAAGGCCAAGTTGGATGAGGCTTTGAGCAACCTGGTGTAGTGGAAGGTGTCGTATCTTCCGAAATGGTAAGAATGATTACTTAAAATATCATGAAGCTTTAATGATATTTTGTGTCATTTCCATTTTAACTTATTTTCAATAGCATTGCATTTTAGTCCCAGCTGGTAACTAAGCACCATGCAGCTGCTCGCTCATTGCCCCTTCCCAGAAGGATGGAGAGGAGAGAATATAACAAAAGGCTCGAGAGTCGAGAAAAGGACAGAGAGGGATCACTTGCCAGTTATGGTCACAGGCAAAACAGCCTCAACTTGGGGAAAAAAAGAATTTAATTTGTCACCAATGAAGTCAGAGAAGGATAATGAGAAACAAAGCCAGATCTTAAAAACACCTCCCACCACTCCTGCCTTCTTCCCGGGCTCAACTTTGCTCCAAATTTTCTTTACCTCCTCCCCCCAGCAGCACGGGGATGGGGAATCAGGGTTGCGGTCAGTTTGTCACACATTGTTTCTGTCACTCCTTCTTCCTCCAAGCGAGGACTCCTCATGCTTTTCCCTCTTTTCCCTGCTTCAGTGTGGGGTCCCTCCCAGGGAAGACAGTTCTTCATGAACTTTTCTGACATGAGTCCATCCTGCAGGATGTAGTCCTTCACTAACTGCTCCAGTGTGGGTCCTCCTCATGGAGTGCAGTCCTTCAGGAACGGACTGCTCCAGCACAGCCTTTCCCATGGAATCATGGCTTCTTTGGGCACAGGCACCTGCTCCAACATGGGATCCTCTCCCATGGGCTGCGGGTGGATCTCTGCTCCACTGTTTCTCTCATGGGCTGCAGAGGGGCCACTGCTGTCTCACCATGGGCTGCAGGGGAATCTTGGCTCTGGCACACCTCCTCCCGCTCCATCTTTGCTGACCGTGTTGTCTGTGAAGTTTTTTCCCTCACATCCCACTCCTCTCCAGTCTCAGTTTAGGGGAACAAAGGCCTTTGGCCAGTGCTGCTGGGCTGTGAGGAACCACTCCCTGGCCCCAGGGGGTCAGGGTGAGGCCTCGGCACCTTCCCACTCTCTGCGCAGGTCCCGCATGGTGCAGGTTTGGGGTTTTTCTTTCTTTTTAAATATGTTATTCACAGAGGTGCTGATTGGTTCTGCCGTGGCCAGAAGCACGTCTGACTTGGAGCTGGGGAAGCTTCTGGCAGCTTCTCACAGGGGCCATCCCTGTAGCCCCTTCCCTGCTACTGAAACTCTGCCACACAAACTCAGCATGAAGAGGAAGTAGCATATAAAAATAAAATAAATAATTACTAATATAGTTTGTATTTTAATAACATAATTGAAAGAAGTTGAGAAATTTTTCCTTTAACCTAAATAAATATAGGGTAATTCTTCTGCTTTCATTAGTATATCACTTGAGTGTGGAAAAATGTCATCACTGCTTGACATTGTAGGCTCAGCAGAACACCCACATCAGTGAATTTGATTTTACTAAGATAGTTTGTTTTCACCTGAAGAAAGGTTACTAAGTAGAAAATGAACTGTACTGGTTTATCTTCATTTACCATTAAGAATGCTTAACTGATGCAGTATACTAGTGCAGCTTTCAATGACATAGACCTTCTTGTTCATTCGTCTGTCTCTTCCTTGATTCTCTCTTTTCCTTTTATATCCTGATCTCCCTTCTATACACCTCAAGACTGCAGAGCAAATTGACTCGAATGAAAAGTCTAAATATAACATAGTAAGTATAAGCAAAAGAGGGCTGATTTGACTTCTCTGAGGAGAAAGCAAAGCAGTCAGAAGATGGCATGGAAAGGAAGGATAAGAAAGTAAATTGAAGGAAGGGAAATAATATTAGCAAACATCTAGAAATCAAGAAGGAACAAGATGATGACCGTGGGGTTCTGAGAAGAAAAAACGTTTCCTTAGAAGTCATGATTGCGTGGTCTGATGCCTTGAACTGGCTAATGCACTGGTAACCTGGGACTCCTAGAACTCGCAGGCTGCAGGTTCTGGTACCGAAATAAGCGTAGAAGTGTCAGGCAGAGATTTACCATTCTTAGTGCTATATAGTCCTGAACGAGTTGAGTAGCAAGGATTGAAGATGTGAACCTGAAACTGGAAAGAATGCTGTTGGAAGAAATTTGCTGCTGTACAATTGTGTCGGGACACTGCACTAGCGGCATTGCCAGCAAACAGACTGAGATCAAGTGTGTGCAGCCTGGAAGGATGAACTGTGGGCTCCATCCGGTCAGGAGCTCTTCTAGATGTCAAGGTGCTGACCACATGCATCCATGAAGGAAACATACATCCAGCCCCACTTCTTCCTTGCTTGAAGTCAGCACCTCAGGCTGCAAACACTTGGTGTGGGCAAGTGCTCAAAGAGAGACTCAGCTGTTAGGGAGGTAGTGTTCTCGGAGGAAATGGTAACAACAATTGTTCCTGATCTGTGGGTTGACGTTTGGATGCAAAATAAATAATTAATTAGATAGATTCTGAAGTGGGGATAATAATTCAGGAACCACTCAGGCATGTAGTGAAGAGGCTATAGCAAATTTGTTTAGGAAACTGAGATCAAGGAGAAACAGTTTCAATATTTGTATACTAGGGTAAGTAGCCCAGGCAACATAATGGAGGGTTTACTGATGCATTACAGGAAGCGGTGTGTTGCGAAGAGAACAGCAGTACCACAGAATCGTATTCATGTTTTGAAAGATGCATGTAGTTAAGGAGAGAGAGAGAAATAAAGATGAAGTCGATATTAGATTAAACATCAGTGATAATATGGTGAACTGAAGAAAAAAAAAGTCTTTGGATAAGATATGGTTGGATCTGACTTAGAATCACATTTGGAGAAACATTAAGAAAATAATAATTCTGAATTTATTTTAGAATTCTGCTATGGGCACCTGGGGCCAGAGTTGCGATTGAGTTTTTTCGTACGTGGGACTAATTGTTTTATATAATTTGAATAAATGTGCTATGTAGAAGGAAAATAATCATGCTACCTGAAGAAATAGCCATTAATGCTATCTTGATCTGTTTTTGAAATACCTTATCTTATTATAAATAATTTTTTATGTATTTTAGTCACGAAGTGTGGACAAGCAACATGCTGTACTAAACTATGATGCCTCTACAGATGAACACTTGGTGAAGGATTTGGGCAGCTTGAATGGGGTAAGTTAACATCAGAAATTGATAGCTTCCCATAGTCTTTTGTATGTTTGTTGGTTGGTTGGTTGGTTTGTTTGTTTTTTCACAAAGAGATTATGATTTAACAAGTGTACGTTAATATCTTTTTAATGCAAAATTGGAAATGGAGGAACATTTAAAAGGAAAATGTAATTTTTGTGGGAGTTTTCCACTGCATGTTATTTAAAGGGCTCCAATAAGAGGAGCTGTGGCAGTAGAAAATAGTAAGAGGGCTGTGGCAGTAGAAAAATCTCAAGATTATAAAAAAGAATATGTTACTCTTCTGTATTTCAGAAATGTAGAAAAAAAATCAAAACTCGATTATATTGAAAAAAAAAGATATTTCAATCTCTGCCATCTCTGGTTAAGAAATGGATTTTTATTTCATATGCTATTCCTTTTTTCTTATTTTTCGTACAGAAAAGAATGTTAAACTGTACTTCATATGTGAAAAATATTCAGTATGCAATAACCATGTTGTATCTAAACCTATTTAAATAGTTCTATATTTGCATTTAGTTTTTCAGTATCCTTTTTGTCAAAATGTCTATGAATGATGCGTGTTAAGGTATTACAAACTAATGAAGGAAAATGCAAAGTTAAGAACAAAATAAAGTTTCATATGACATTTTACATTTTTAAGGCTTTTTTAGGAATTGAATGTTCTAGGTGAGCTTCGCCTTTGATAAATGTTTTGAATGTATAATAGATTATTAAACACTTTGTGTTTTTATAGCCCTTTAGATACTTTATAAGCTGTTTAAACACACCTGTCATGGCTGTTATTTTATATAACTTTAAATGCTTGACCATGTCAGAAATGCGTACAGAATAAAATCATGAGTTCATTTGTGATTGCTTATTTGAATTAGTTAAGAAAATATTTAGAAAGCTACTGGTAGTGAATAGCTTTGTCAAATGTTTAAAAAAATAGATGATGAAGAAGAAATCTCAAGTTACTGCTTGTTAGCATTGGTTTAGGTTTTGGTGTTTGATCTTGTAGTGCATTTCAAAATAAAAACCCTGTTAGTCTGTCTCTGTTAGCTTTTCTGTATTTTAAGGTAGCTAACTCAGCCTTCTAAAGAGTCAGCGTTTCAAATCCATTTGAAACCAGTGTAACCTGAAGGGTTATATCCTTTGAACAATTGTAGTCATATAAGAACTTTGCTCCTTAAATATTTAATACAGCTCTGTAATTTAAAAGTCAGTGCACTGTTTCAAAGCAGAGATCAAAAATGAATTTGGCACATAGTTAAGTTTTTGCTGAACCATTTGGTTTTATTCCCTAATTCTGTTACTCCTGTAGTCAATAGGAATATCTTCAGATTTCCATTACCTTGTCAGAAAACTTGAGTTTAATTAAAATATGTGTTGAAAGGCCTTCATTTGACTCCTTTCTTGGCCTCTGATAAAGAGCTTTCAGTTACTTGCTTCGCTTGGTCGGATTCATTCTTTTGTTTGAGTTGCTCTATAACTGTTTGCCCAGAAACATCAAAAGAACTCTTTCTTCCCACAGATTTGGGACAGGGAGTATTAAGTTTTAGGAGTTCAGTCCTTTGTCTTCTTGGTGCCTCCCTTACTATCTCCTTCCAACTGTGCTGTTCTTACATACCTCTACCTACCTGGTTTCAGGTCAAAGAGGAAAAACATAATTTTGTAGCACCATACTTAATTTTGTGGCAGAACAATATATACCATGCCTCTGTACCATGCAGTGAACTACTAACTAGGCAATAATTCTTTTAGTCTAGCTACTATTTCCACTGAGAACATCACCTCTCTAACAGCCAAGTCCCTCTTTTAGTGCTTCATCAGCTTCTACCCATTCTTATTTCCCTTGCTTCATCAAGAGCGAACGTTTATTTTGAGTGTCCCCCTTTAGTCCCGTTTCTTTGGAGAACAGATGTGTGCTGTTCTTGGTATACAGGGCCACTCCATTCCTGGTGTAACGCACTTTAACTACTAAAGATAATTCAGAGTTTAAGGCAATATGGCTGCTACTAATACATCGGCTTTTCTTTCGAGTTTTATATGTCTCAGGTACTTTCACTAGATGAACTGAAATTGCACCTGATGCCCCTCAAGGGGGCCTACAAGAAAGATGGGGAGAGGCTGTTCAGGAGGGCCAGTTGTGATAGGACAAGGGGTAATGGTTTTAAAATAGAGGGAGGTAGATTCAGGCTGGATATTAGGAAAAAATTTTTTACCATGAGAGTTGTAGAACACTGGAACAGGTTGCCCAGAGAGGTGGTGGATGCTCTAATGCCTGGACATTCTTATCTGTATGGTTGATTCACACTCAATTCAGTGAAAAGGTTACAGCAGTCTTCATCCGTGACTTCATACCTCTAGATTTGAAAATAAAGCAAAAGTAGATTTTAATCATATTTACATGATGTAAAGTTTTATTTCTAATAGTCCATCATGACTCCTCCTGGTCATTACTGCTTATGTTTTATTTCATACAAAAAAGATTAAGGAATTTATCTTTTCTGAAGAAAATGTGAACAGTTGCAAAGATATAATCTATTATTTCACGAGTATCAACAGAATTCAACTATATTTTCTCCTTTGACTTGTGACCTCAAAAATATACCAGAAAAATTATCAAACATCCATGGCCCTGTTGAATAATGTTCTTCTCAGGCATAGTTATAGAATAGTGAAGTCCTTTCGCACGGATGTTTCAGGGACTGGATTGTGAAATGCTCAGCAAACTTTGTGAGGTCTTTAAGAGAGTTGACTCTCACTATTTGAAGAATAAAGCTTTGGAAGTCATGTGAATATATATATAAAAATGTATATAAGGTGATTTAAAGGGGAAAAAGGATTCCTTATTTACATAGTAACTAGCTTTTTCAAGCTAGCTTTATCTTAGATTCCATAGCCTGTGGTGGGATTTTAAAACTCCAGTGGCAAAGCAACTGAGGCTTGGTTGTTGTACGCCCTCGGTTCAGTCGTGAGGGTGTCTGTACACTGCACACACTGCCTTCAGAGTTCTCTGAGTTGAGTATACTGCATGCACATGAATTTCAGAACTCTGACCTGGGAGGAAAAATAGTTATGTACATGTATGTATGCATGTCTACAAGGCAGCCACCTTTTGGTGATGCACTAAAATTCAGTCTGCCTTGAGGATATTCTTCACACGGGTTTTTGATCTGGACTGTCACAATGTTAAAATGGAATAAATATGCATTAAACACCTCTCAAAGTCTCATGCTTACAAACCAGTAAATAGTTGTACCTTGAATTCTTATTTATCATGGAAGATATTTTCCATGAAGAAGGTAAGCAATTTTTTAAATAATGAAATAAACATAATTTTCATTTAGAAAATAAAATAAAATAAACCCAAAATAATCCCTTTACTGTTTTGGAGAAGGACATTGTTTCTATCTTTCCAGACTTCATCTAGTACTAGACTTAGATGAGCAACACAAGCATTCAAAGATTTAGATTGTTGGCTTACTTAATTATTCAAGTTTATTTTTTCATGTGTGTGTGACCTTAACTTTGAAGTGCCTAAAAACCGGCAAATTCCAGCTGCTGCATTCCTTACAAACGTGCATACCTTGTTGTAGAATTCTTAAGTTTGAAGTAGGATGATTCTGTGGGCTTGTGATATTCTGAGTCCCCAAAACTAGCACAAACCAATAGTAAATATGTTTCAGAAGGGCACCCTGGCTATTTAATCTATCTGTAGTATTAGCATGTAGTTGTTATGAAAAGTAAAAGAGCTGGAAGCTGTAAATTTTTTAAGTTATGAAAAAATATACTACTGATAAATAATTCATAAAATAATGCAACAGACTAATACCAGGTAATCCATAAATATTTTATCTGCCTTGAATTTGCCCTAAATTAAGGCTTCATTATGAGTTTTAAAAGAAGATGAAGGAAAGAATACCAAGAAACAAGAGACTTCACGTATAGCTGATTATTCATATTTCTTGCAAGGAAGATGCTACGTTCTTGTAAGTCCAGATGTTACATTGTTTTCAGGTAAAAGGACAGGGAAGATTTCAAGAAAGCCAGGGGAGAATGTAGAGGAGAGGAACTTGGAGTGTAAATTGTAGCTTCTTAAAATTGTAGCAGATTTGAATTTAGCCTTGACCAATAGTTTAAGGCAGGATGCTGTGCAGAAGTTTGTCAGCTCACACTGTAGAAAGATTGTTCAAGGATGTGTAACTCTGAAAGGGTCTTCAATATTATGCAGAGTTACATTTACTGTTTTCTTTTAACTTTGCAGCCTGATCTCTAGTTTTTGTAATCGAGAGCTTAAAATTCCGTTCTGCTAGGAAAAAAAACCCATGTCTTTACCCTTTTATATTTCTCCATCACTGAGTGAATTCAGAAGATACAGACAAAACGTATTTTCTGAAGGTAACAATTCAGTTTAAGAAACAATTCTCTTTCACAGTTAGAGATACAGCCTAACTTGGAAAGTTCTAAGAGCAGTGGTATGACTCGGCATGAGCAGAATGCTCAACATGAGAGCTGTCATTGGGAGATGGCAGATTCTGGAAGTCTCTACCTGAAGGTTTAAGCATCCCCTCCAACAGCAAAAGGGCAAGTTGTGAGGAGAACAATCTCTGTTCCTGCTGTTCACTCCTGCCTTAGCATGTTAGCATCCTTGTTTTCTGAAATCTGAAATCAGCACATGCAACTTCAAGTCTTGCTGATTTTAGTAACCTGGACAGTTTGCTTTACACTGACAGCCTACCTTCCTAAGACTGAGAATCAGTCTTTAAAGATGCAGATCAGTTCCAAGGAAGGAATAAACTTTTTTTCTTGGCTCTTACAAGAGCTTATATCTGTTCTAGAATTTTGTGTAGGTGACTTTCTAGAATTTTCTTTAGGGCTTGAATGATCTGACTTCAAGCCTTATTTATGTTCATTTGATTTTTTTCCCACAGAGATGAAATTGTTTTCCAACTCTTCCAAATTATGTCTTTGAGATCCATTTTGACTTGAACATATATTATTCGTCCTCTTTGCTGCCTCTGTAATTAGTCACTGTATTTATCTTGGGCCCTCTTGAAATTTATCCCAGCATGCTTTTTCAAATTCCTTGTTATTTTTCACTGTTAGGTTTAATCTGGACCTTGAAATCAGAGTAATCTGTATTGCCTCTAACAGACAACGGAATATGGCTGGTGAAATTGTGTAAACATTCAGGTATATGAATCCTTCTCCAAATCACTGAAAGCTTGTCTGATTTCTCCAAGTGTGTTTCCAACAGTGATTTCAAGGAGGAGAGGATTATTTATTGTACAGTAACTGAATTTTCAAAAGGTATTGTCAAGCCTATGGAATTTTCTCTACTTTGCTGGTGTGATAATGTTATTTCTGCTTATAAACGTTATTACACCTACTCTTTCCAGAGTCACAATATATTGAATTCTTTAGGACTGCTATTTGGAGTTACTTGGATGCACTAACTTCATCCTTTTTTCCTTTAATTCCTTTGACAATGTTTAGAAGTTATAAGCTACCTCAGAACTCTCACATCTAATGTTAAATGCTGTACAAATGTGATGATAAATCAATTCTGACAGCTGATTGGGATTGAAAAAAAGTGAACTGCAAGAAAAATAACGAGTGGAGGTGCTAATTTGAGGGAAAATTAATCAACAGTTCAGTAAATACTTCTAACAAGGTTAAGCTTGTAAGAAACTTTTCAAGGCCAGCGTGATGTCTGCTGCCTGGTTGGCAACTGGTGTTTAACCTTTGTTTTGAAATATTTTATGAAGCAGGTGGCAATTTAAGCATATAGTTTAATTCCCCAGTGAATCACCAGTATAGAATTTGCCGTGCTGAAAACTTTCTTATAAAATTAAGTGATTTGTCATTTCATTATTTTGGAATTTAATGGTATCTCTTTCTGTCATCGTTTATTTCTATAGACATTTGTGAACGATGTGAGGATTCCAGAACAAACATACATCACTCTGAAGTTAGAAGATAAATTGAGATTTGGATATGATATCCTTGTCATAAAAATCCACGAAGCCCTGACACACTTTTCTTGCTAAAATTATGGTTGTGTTTAATGAAAGGTTCTCATACTGTTTGAAAAACATCTTTGATATATTTATTTCTCTCATTACTATGAAAATGCCTATATTGGAGAAAATGGCAGTTATTAGAATACTGTACCTTGGTCAGAACTATTGATAAAGTACGCTTCATTGTTTCTCACTGCGAGAAACCTCAACTTCCAATTACTTCTTAAAACTTCTGTGTTGCTAGGAATCATTCATTTTCTTGGAGTCAAATACAAAAATATTTGTTATCATATGAGATTGTATACAAGTAGAGAAGATTGCAAGTAATTACTCAGCAAACTACCAAATGAAAAAAAAAAAGAGAACTTGTAATAATACTACATTAAGATATCTACTCAATGTTCTATTTACAAATAGTAAATAATTTTATTGTGCATTTGCTTTGAGTATGATTGTACATGCTAGTCTTAACAGTGACATATTTGTAGAACAAGTTGCCATTCCAATGGCAGGGTAGGTTGTAGAACTGTTGCTTTTCTGTAAAATCCTCTTGTGAATTGAGAAATCTTTCCAGTATTTTCCTTACCATTTCCTACATACTAATCTTTTTACTGTTGTCAGGGGAGAGATGAGAGTCCCTGAAGAAGCACTTAAGGTAATAACGTGCAGTTCTTAGATGTTCTTCTGTCATTGTGTAGTTATTGGTAACATAGGGGTTTTTTTCAGTCTTTGAGAGTGTTTTTTCTTCTTTATTTAATGTCATGTAGCATGAAAAATTCACAAGCCAACTCCAATTATCCCAAAAATCTTCAGAGACAGAAGGGTCGAAGCAAACTTGCTCCAAAAGCTCAGAGTCCAAGGTAACAGACTCCACAGCTGAAGTGCACCACAAAACTACAGAAGCACTGAAATCTGAAGAGAAATCAGTGGGTAAGGTTCATTTTTGCTGCAGAAGGAGAACACAAACTTGGAAAGGATATTTATTTGCTTTGCTAGGATGCTTCTGAAATAATATAGATAGTAAAAACTCCACATGTGAAATTTTAAACATACTTTAAGTGTAATTAATAACTTTCAGAATTGAATTGCGGCCTTTTTTACTGTAGTATCCACATGTTAAGAAAACTCATAAAGGGACATTTAGTCAGCATTTACCAGATTTTTACATTTCTCTTTCCCCAAATCACAAGCTTTCAGCATTTGTGGCAGGGAAGTGTGCTGGTTTTTGCAGTTTAACCAAAAATATTTGTTCAGCAACAGTTTGTACTTTTTAGTACCACCATTGTCAAGTGCACTCTTTATTTTTTCAAATGAGTGGGTGTTTTGTATTTGTTTTATAGATATTATTTGTTGTTAGATGCGTCAGGATAGAACTTAATTCTTCTATTTTTTCAAAATTTGTAGAAACTATAGCTTCGGTCTTGTTTCTACCTCATCTTTAATATTTCTGTAATGTGTCATTGTGGCTCTACTGTGGGTGTCTTAACTTCATTTTGAAGCTTGCTAAAGTTTATTGTTCATCTTGTTGTAACTTGTTGTGTTACCTGTTACTACTGGAGATAACCACAAGAATGAGAAAGGAATCAGGTATTATTACTTCCTTAATATGGAGCTGACTACATCTGAGTCCTTGGTCAGGGCTGTACAGTTTTGTTTAGATTTAATCCATTCTTCTGGAAGACACGCTTCAAAGAGTTCTTTTCCCACATATAAGATTCTGTGGTATAACTAATTAATCTGTTTGTTTTGTTGGTTGTATTAAAGGTACGTAAAGCCTATCCATTACTTCAGTGTTCCTATTCAGTGTGGCTTTTCAACATTCAGATCCTCTTAAAATTTCATAAAGTGGCACACTGGAGTTTTTTTATCCTCGTCTTCCATTTTTCTCTTTGGTCTTCCAAAAATAGCAGTCGAAGTTAATGATAGGGATTTATATTTGAGTGCAACTCTCTAGCTTTTTTGGGGATTTATTCTTTCGCTCTTGGTGTATATATGCATAGCTGTTTACTATTGCTAATTCAGTGCACAAGCATCACCCATCAAGTTTTTAAAAACAAATCAGAATTGACTAAAGTGTAATGGTGTTTAAAAAAAGCAGTAGGTAGTATCTTCAAATCATATTGAAAATTTGGCATGGCTATGAAATTATATATCATCATTGGAATGGCAGTGAATAAAATGAATGAAATAAATTGAATGAAAATGTTGAAATTCGTGATAAGCAAAGTAACAGACAAGCTACTAGGCTCGATTTGAACAGATCATGCTGTGATATATAAGGACTCTTTAAAGTATCTTCAGAACATCCGTATGATAGTAAAGTAGCGAAATCTCAGTAGGGTGAAGTGTTCTCCCAACAGATAAGGTGAATACTAATCCTGTCAATTTATCATCAAGGTAGAAATCTTAATTATATCAGTGTATTTCTTCTTGTTTAATCTTTACATTTAAATGTGTTTAATCATGTCTATACATCCTGTATAAAAAATAGCATTTTTAATTGTGCTTTGATTTTAACTATTGCGTTTTAAAAGATAATGAAAAAATGATTGTGCTTAGTAATGTTTTATACAAGGTAACTTTCATCACTCTGTAGTAGCTGTCAGCAATTTGGAACCTTGGCAACATTGCAAAATTTGATCAGTTTTTCATGCAGTGAGTTCAGATTTCATTGAAAGGTCAATGTGGGGTAAAAGTGAGAATCTTTTCACAGAAATAGTAGTGGACAGCTTTTAGGAATGTACTGCTATGCTGATGACTTCAAACCGAGAGGAGAAAATAATGTTTAGATATATCAGAGTAACAATAAGAGATGTCAGCTGCCTTTGCAGAAACGTTTGTGCCAAAAATTTTGATCAGGTCATTAGTAAGCTTTTATATTTAGAACCCAGATCAGTTATCCAGCCTCCAAATTTGTTTTGTGTTTCAGCAAATGCATGCAAGTAGTTCACTTCAGCTTCCAGGAGAAACGATCCAAACAAATGACTCTCTTCATGTTATTTTAACCTAAATATCACAACTAAGCAGAAAAGTAATTTCCTCTGCTTTGGGCTGGTTTTACAGATCTTTCTGCCATGCCTCGTGGGACACCCTTGTATGGACAGCCAGCCTGGTGGGGTGATGATGAAGCTGATGAAAAAAGTGGTTGTAAGCCAGATAGCAAGCATGAAGAAAAAATGCATGAGACGGGAGCTTCAGGTAAGTCTATTGTCTTATTTTTGTGGGGTTTGTGCTCTTCAGTAAAGTACCTACGTTCTTAACTAGGGAACTAAACAGATATTAATGTTTGGAAGTTTCATAGACAGTTTGCATAGATTAAAGCCTATTAAAATTAAGGTAGTTTAAAAAATTTATTCTGTGAGAAACAACACATTTCCAGACACCAGTTTCGCGTACAATGTGTCAGTTTTCTAGAATGTAATACAATTTGTTATCAGTAAATATAGGAAATAATGTTTCTTATATGTGCGTCTTATTTATCAATTTAGTCCATATCTGTCATTTTATATGCTCAAAATTAGAGATTCCATAGGGATATTTTATCAAAATAGTTTCTGAAAATAAGTGGTGCTATATTATTTTTGTGTTTGACTTTTAGCTTTATAAGGTGATCTCTGCTAACATTTTCTCCTGCAATTCAGTAATGCTGTGTTAGTGGAAATTACATTTCATAGTTCTTGCAGTAAAGATTTGCGTGGTCTAACAACATGCATCTAACATGTTAATTGCCATTAAACTGGTAATGTTTGTTTCACCATAATACAGATATTTTTTATTATTTTTTTCAGTTAGCTTATATATGCACAGTATGTATTGCCAGAACTTCAATCTCAATGTCTATAATTAGGCTTCTAAATCTATCATCGGGCATATAAATAAAGTGACTGCTATTCTAATAAAGAGAATAACCTTAAAACTTACTCAATTTAGAACAAAATTCAGCCATGTTTGTTTAGATACACATTTACGGCCCAACAGTTCTAAGTTTGGAGTTGTTTGAAGTACTTTTAACTGAGGTGGGGATTTCTCTCTTCCTGTAATAGTAGTTGCCTTGGTTACTGTGAATCTTATTTTGCAAGAATTGGAGTAAACTCTAAAACCATGAAGATCAAACTAAACCAATACTTCAATGTAATTAAGTCCATGTCTTTGGAGTTAACTTCTTGTCATAGACTTTAGTGACCTTTTTTGTATTAGTCTAAATTTATCATGACTCAGTAAAGTAAGTCCCTTAAGATTTGGACTAGTAGAAAGAAACCAGGTAAAAACATTTAAATTAATGACAGTTTTCATGCAAGTTTAACAACTTTATTGCATATAAAAGAACTGCATCATAAACCAAACAGATATAGAATGCTTTCTTATTTGGTTGGCTTTTCAGTGAAAAATTTCTCTACCGTATGCAGCATGAGTAGAGTATGCTATTGTGTGCTCCTTTGGAGGCTTTCTAAGTACAAGTTTAATATCCTACATTAGTAATCTATAACTCTTCAATCAAATCTTGTCTAGAAATGTGTTCTTCACACACTTCTAAGCATTCCTAAGAAATATAAATTTTGTTCCTAATGGCAATAATAATGAGAGACAATGACACTTAGATGTTTCACTTCCATTTTTCTCAACAGAAAGGAAAAGTGGGTATGTTATCAGTTACAAAGAAAAAGAATTAAGTCCTTGCCTTCAAGTCTTGCCATTGACAGAATGCTAGCCACATGATTCTCCTTACTTTCTAGATTACAGGAAGCATTAGCTATTGACTATGAAATCTGTGACTCTGTATCTTGCTGTATATGCCAAAACAGGGATTGTGAAGTCTCTAGTATCTGTGGTTTTATTGCTTACATGTCAATGTCTGTAGCAAACCAATATAACGAAAAGATTAATTCATCAAGTTTTTTATACTCTTGTGTGTCTATCTACATTGTTTTAATTAAAAAAACATGCACATTATTTGCCCTCATTAGATACAGGATTATTAAAAAATAATATCCTGAAGTCTCACCTCTGTGAGATGGAGCAGATCCTCCTGGCAACTATGCTGAGGCACATGGAAAACAAGGAGGTGATTGGTGACAGCCGACATGGCTTCACTAAGGGCAAATCGTGCCTGACTAATTTGGTGGCCTTCTATGATGAGGTTACAGCATTGATGGATAGGGGAAGAGCAACTGACATCGTCTACCTGGACTTATCCAAAGCATTTGATACTGTCCCACATGACATCCTTGTCTCTAAATTGGAAAGACATGGTTTTGATGGATGGACCACTCAGTGGATAAGGAATTGGCTGGATGGTCGCACTGAAAGAGTTGTGGTCAACGGTTCAATGTCCAAGTGGAGGCCAGTGACGTGTGGTGTTCCTCAGGGGTCAGTACTGGGGCCAGTGCTATTTAACATCTTTGTCGGCGACATGGACAGTGGGATCAAGTGCACCCTCAGCAAGTTTGCAGATGACACCAAGTTGTGTGGTGTTGTGGCCACGCTGGAGGGAAGGGATGCCATCCAGAGGGACCTTGACAGGCTTGAGAGGTGGGCCTGTGAGAACCTCGTGAAGTTCAACAAGGCCAAGTGCAAGGTCCTGCCCGTGGGTCTGGGCAATCCCAAGCACAAGTACAGGCTGGGTGGAGAATGAATCAAGAGCAGCCCTGAGGAAAAGGACTTGGGAGTGCTGGTTGATGAGAAGGTCAACATGAGGGTGGTGAGGTACTGGAACAGGTTGCCCAGAGAAGTTGTAGATGCCCCATCCCTGGAAGTGTTCAAGGCCAGGTTGGATGAGGCTATGGGCAACCTGGTGTAGTGGAGGGTTTCTCCGCCCATGGGAGGGGGGTTGGAACTAGATGATGTTTGAGGTCCCTTCCAACCCTAACCATTCTATGATTCTATGCATAGACAAGTGATTTATTTATCTCAATCAATCTCTGAGTGGATTTTAGTTATATGTTTTATTAGTCTGGTTTTTGACTGTTCTAGAGGTGTTTTAGTAGTGTTGACAGAGAGCCTGAGAAGACAGAGCAGATAGGAGTTGACATTTGCTTCTACAGACACATTTCCTCAATCTCAGAACACTACGTCTGTGTACAAGCGTGCAAAAAAGTATGCTGAATGTTTTCATACAATTATAAAATAAAGACATAAGCTTTTTGGACCCCTTTGGCCTTCAGTTACATTCCATGAAAACATTAAGTTTATTTTTGACAAGTTAGTATGTGTTTTCTTCATGCACTTAGGTTTCATAACAAGATGAATATAATGATTGGAAATCAATATAAAGCAACACTTTAATGAAAGGAAATTGTAAACTTCACAAGACTGTCATGTTTGGATATTTTTTTAAGTAAAAACAAACTTTAGTTTAATAAAAAACATTGAAGGTTATTTGTTCTTTCATGGGCTAAATTGTATTAAGTATTTAAAATACCGATTTAGAACATATTTTTTGATATAAACTGCCTAAAAGTAAGTACATTACAAGTGAATTCACGTATGTAATTGCTGAAACTTTTTGTTTCGTAACTCAAATCGAGAAAGCCTGATATCTTTTTAGCAAATTAATCCTATGAAGAATCTGCTTCATGCATTAATGATTTGGTACACGATTATTCACTGAATAGAAAAGAAGGCATGAATTATAACAGATGGGGCAAGGTTTAATTAGGAGATTGAAATGGGAGATTTGTTCCTGCTAAGCCAACTATAGACAATTAGTCTTTACAGTCTCAATTTAATAAGATTATTTCAATGTCTTTCTGTCACAAGGGAAACTCACTAATGGAAATTATTTGCAAACATAGCAGAATATCCTGGAAAACTTTAAAAAGAAAAAACATTTCTGTTTTTTTCAGACATGCATGTTGCTCTAATTTAATGATCCATAGATCTACTAGTCTGTATTAAAATGAATACTTGCATATAGAACTATTGTATGACTATATCTGTACTGCAGCTGTTCAACTTAGATGTTATTGGCAAGTTTACTGGGTATGTAATTATTATTAGTATTGCCACGTGTTACACTCTCACTTCCTGGAAGAGCAAAGACTTCATTTTCTGCTAATCTCAGTAGTAGTTGTAGAATTTTACATTATTAGTGCCTTTAACAGAAATCTAGAAAACACAGAAGTAAATTTTTAAACAGGCTTTAAGAATCTGAAGTAATTTTTTCCATTTGGCATGAAGTATTTTTAATTCTAGCACTGCATAACAATATATCAGATTAAATGTTCCTTACATTTAAGAAACAGTGTCATTTTAAGGTAAAGCAAGCTGAGTTATTTTAGAAATTTCAGTGTAATCAGTATGTGTAGATCACACACCATGTTTAATAACTAGTATTAACATTAAAGTACTTAGAAGTTTGATTTAGATTTTTGCTGAGTTTGGGCCTGGAATGCGTGCAAGTGCTGCATGTGTAAGGCTGGCTTTGCAGAGCAATAGCAGCAAACGTGCATGGTATGTCACAGGGAGCTTTCAGAACATTTTTGAGCCATCACGGCAAAATACTGATTTTGATTAGTTAGGTTAGATTAGTTTTGCACTTGTTTCACTTCAAGTCCTTTAAAGTATACAGTTAAATGATTTACTATGAGAGGTGGGGATTTCTATGTGCTACTCTTTTATATTTTTATTTAGAGAGCAGAATTTTGATATTATTTCAAAAAACAGGTTATGACATCATTAGAAGTCAAAGATCATCCTATTTTAATACAAGGTGAATCATTACATGTATTTTTCACAATCTTGTCTTTAAACAACAGTGAAAAATATGCTTCAGCCATAAAACAAAAAAAGAACCTAAAAGGTAAGTGGGAAATAAAAAGTAGCAATATGGAGAAAAGGAGAAAGGGAAAAAAGAAATTCTGTTACGTGTTTGAAAGCACTAACTTCAGCTTCTTTTCATTAAACATCATTGCACGATACCAAATATAAAGCTAACATAAAATATTTTGGGCTACTGTGTAAATATATTTCAAGCACTTCTTATACCTTCTGCAAATAAGTATTTTGCTCCAGGTTTACAAACATTTTTTCAAGAAATGCTTTTTAAATTCCAGATAATTTTCTTTTACAAGATTTATTTTTAAAATTGCATTTTTAAGGCAGAAAAAAAGAACGTTTCTAAAGAATGAGGACTGTGCAAACATTTTCTGAGGTTTCTTTCTGTCTTTGCAGGTGATAACGTATCCATATACATAGGCAATTTCTTGCATATCTGATAGATTGTGTTGAAAAGCACAGAACACTTTTGACATTTCTTGTCCAGGCTGGCAAGTGAAATTTTAAGATTCTGACTGTTTGTTTGTGTGACAGATTAAGAAATAAAACTTTAAAAACCAAAAAGTCCTAGAAAGTGTCATCAATTCTGGTAATATCACAAAGTCAATGTTTCTTTTCCAATTATAATCTCTGAGATGACTCTAGTCAAGAATCTCCCTGAATCTCCATTTGGTTAAGCCTATGATTTCCCAAATATTAGTTTCCCTCTTAGCCTCTCCTACACTCATTGTTTCGTTAATAGTCTCACTACACCTGTGTAGCAGCCAGAGTTACTGCTTCCTTTCTTGCTTTGTAGAAACTGCTGCACAGTTGTCCTTTGTAGCTCTAGGCCTTTGCAGAATGAGAGCTGCTTCTTTACAGATACCCTGGTTCTTTTTCTGCCCCTTTCCTTTCACTCGTGCTAGTTCAGAATTCTCTTCAGTTCCTGACAAGTTCACCACCCATCCGTCCCCTCATTTTTCCAAAACACACTTTCACTTCCACACAATTGCCTTTTTTGCTTTATAGATACTGTGCTTGTTCTATTAAAAAATTATAGATCTGTGATGATGACTGTCTTCAGTATTTGCTTGAATGGTTTTTTTTTAAAGCTATCTAATTTTAGTCTGATATATAATTTGCTTCATCTTGGCAGATGACTTTTTATAATAGGATTTCAAATGTAAAGCTGTTTTATAGATCACTCATGATTATTTGTATTTAGAAAGCTATAAGGACTTGCATTTAGAATTCTGGTGTAAAATTCTAAAGGGTGGTTCAGATCAAGATCTACATTAATTTTTTATTTCCTCGTTGTTTTCAGTTCCTTTTTCTAATAATTTCTGATGTATTTAACTCTTCTAAAAATACAAGAACTTCAGACTGAAAATAGAATTTTTAAGTAACTAAAATTAACTTGTACTTCAGCTTTTTCATTATATAATTTCTAAAAATTTTTCCAATTTAGAAAGAATTAGAAATTAGTTGTAGTTCAGTTTCTCACTTCTTTTGATTAAACTCTATCATAATTTTGATTCCAATGATATTATAGCATCTGTTTAATCAAAAATATTAGAATCAAATACTGTGCATATTGCTATTGTATAAGCAGTTGACTTCAAATGTGAAAGTTGGCACAAGAAAGTTTCACAGATAAAATTGTTTTATGAAGTTGTCCATCAATGCTGACAAGCCAGTGTTTTGCATCCCCTCATCCTAGGCCTACCATACATCTGGTGCTGTTTAGCTACAATCTTATAGTTTTAACAAGATGATGATGAACCAGTTAAATAATATTTTTCATTAAATATGAAATATTTTTTGGCCAGTAGATTGCTGTTAGCTGGCCCAAAAGTAGAAATGTTTCTTAAAACATACTGTATTAGCCAGTTATCTTTTGAAGGAGCATTTAACGCTGCATCTTGCTTAATTATTGATTATAGGAATTGTATGAAATTGTAGGCTTGAAGCTCTGAACAGAACCGTAAGGAAAAAAAATAAGGTACATAAGAACTGGCTCCTTGGTGGATTACTCTCCTCTTCATTGAAAGTGTTGCATGCTGTAAGGAATCCTGGCTCTAGATTTGATCCTACTTTTAGACTTTGATCTATTCCGGCTTGTTAGCTGAAGGAAACAAAAGGAGAGTGATAGTAGTTTACCTAAAATCTAGTAGCTGCGAAGTGTGATCGTTGTTTCTGTACCTTTTCTGTCTAAACATAGAAGCTTTTTAAATGACCTTTGCATCAGTAGAATAGATTCATTCTATATTGTTTGTCTGCTGACATAAGTGTTTTCAGGAAGGGAACTAAAAAGGCATTCCATTTCCCAGGGAGGGAAATGGTGAGTTGCTGTTGAAGTGCCTGAAAACTACTCCACAGAGATGAGGTAGGTGACAGTGTAGTGAAAAGCATTAGCTAGGGTATTCTTGGAATGCAACTCAAGCTCATATTAAGCTCAATATAAAAACTCTCTGAATTCTAAACATCTTTTGTGTTTGCAACAGCTGCTTTTAGATAAAATAAATTAAAACAGCTGTGTTACCTGCATCAGAGTTATTTCATCCTGTTGGTATCCAAACATGGCAATAATAATGTGCACTATTTTGTTACCGTTCCATAACATCATTCTTTTTTTAACTTTTCCGGCTATTATGCTGTCCCTTAATTAGTTCTATTTCTCTGTATCAAATTACCATCTTTTTTATTTTTTAATTTTTAACCTTTTCCTAAATCTTCACAAGAAGCATGCATTTGTGAAGAACAGCATGGGCACATTATGCTGTCTTGCTTTCTTTTCCCCCTGAATTCCTGACCTTAGTGTAGATGTTTCTATTACTACCTTATTGCATTATAGTTTCATACACAAATGGTAACTGTCTCAGCTGATATAGTGTGGCTATTTGTAGCGCCAGAAATCTATTAATTGCATTCTTACGCCTTTACTTGGCAACCGAAAATGATTTCTTAAACATCTTAATGAGGTTCATGATAAATCGTGTAGGAACTATTCAGAATTCTTTTGCTGGAATGTAACTTGCCATTGCTGCTAACATCTCAAGCATCTGTTGCTTATAGCGCATCTCTACACCAGATATTTTGGCTAGCTTGCTAGTTCATGAAATGCAACCAGAAGATTTACTTTCTTAAAGGCACATTGGTCGCTTTGCTGCGACCACAAGAAGCTTTAGCCTTCATTCAGGCTATACAGTGGGACTTTCAATTACTACCCCATGCTTTCTTTACTCAGAGCATGGTTGGGTAACATTTTGCATACTTCCAGCTATTGTCACTTTTTCTGTTCTTCTACAAATTATGGAAACAAGTAAAATAAGAGCAGATGACAGTAGGATTTAGCTCAGTTCTTTGGGTTTATCTTTTGTAGAAACATAAAGTGTTTGAATTTCAGAACACTTTCCAGTGCTTATCAGTGTTAAACTTTTCAAGCTAGAATTAATGTTCGTCATGCGTTAATGTTTGAGTTGATTTTCCAGACAATTTTACCAAACAAAATTATACCAGCTGTCCACTGCAGGAGATGAAAGCCACATCACTAGCACTCGTTTTTGGGGCATCTTGATTTGATCTTTTTCTGATAGATTGGAATTGAAATAATGATCTTCTCAGCTACTTCTCTAGTATGATGTACCTGTTTTCCATGTGCCACTAACTTATCTGACCTCTGCATCTTGTAAAAATTTTTAGAATGCAAATTTCCTTTGACAAATTCTAAGTGAGCTTTTTGCCACTTTATACTCCTTACAGCCAAAGCTTGTGCTGTCTTTTCAGTAGTACTTTTTATATGTAATTCTGGAATTCTTTTTCAGAACTGCATTGCTCAGTCTTCTCCACAATCTTACTGTTTATTCCAGAAATTACTCAAGTAGCTTTTAGAGGAGTTCAGAAACGTCTTGAAGAACCTGAAGTTTCTAAGTATTGTGAAATCTATTTTTTATTTTTCTTAATAGGATGCAGCACAGATGCCAAGCAAGCTGAGGAGCAGTCTGCAGCTGCAAGTGAAGAACTTTATCCTTTCTGTAGGGAGCCAAGTTATTTTGAAATCCCTACAAAAGAGTTCCAGCAACCTCCACAGGTAGCAGAGAGCACTATTCATGAAGTTCCAACAAAAGACACACAAAGCTCCCATGCAGCAGGTGCAGGGCATGCTTCCTTTACCATCGAATTTGATGACAACACTCCAGGAAAAGTAACAATCAAAGATCATGTGACAAAATTCACATCGGAACAGCGTCACAAGTCAAAAAAGCCTTCTTCCTCCAGTGGTCAGGACCTGCCTGGGCTTCAAACTGTGATGATGGCTGCAGAGAGCAAAGTAGCAGATTGGCTAGCACAGAACAATCCTCCTAGAATGATATGGGAACCAACAGAGGAGGATTCCAAAAGTATTAAGAGTGATGTTCCAGTGTACTTGAAGAGACTGAAAGGTAAAGTGAATAATTGCAGCTATGCTTATTTCTGAAAGCAATGATTCCTCACCTGCAGCCAGTGAGTTGATCCCTGAGCCCTTGTGGAGTGCATTTGAAACCACAAATACTCCATATGTGTGCAAGGATCTGTGCTGGGAAATATTATTGCAATATTAAGTCTTAAAAAGAGGAAGAAAACCAAATCCTGAATCATCTTACAATAAGTATACTAATTGGAGATATTCTAGTACAGCTGAAAACATCAGATATTTAAAACATTGATCTTGAAAAAGAAAAGGAAAAAACTCAAGACTTAGTTAAGTTTTATGTATTTATATTTTTCCCATGCATTGCTTTAAAAAGCTGAATTGCTCTTTAGAATCAAAGCTCTGAAGTTCAATTTATGCTTTTAGCAGCTCTTCCAATAGCATATGTTCTGTGAATATTCGTGTGCTTTAAGAAAATAATTATGGCAAAGAATACATCATATAATTATTCTCCTTAAATCAATCATGTATGATGGAGTCAAGTTTGAGCCAGGAATCTGAAATAGACCAAGAGCTTCAATTTTTATTGAAAATAAAGCTTGCAGAATATTGTATTTATAAGACTGCTGCTGTTGAATAGAGTTCCAGGTGATTGATTATAGGTGTTCATTTACTGCAGACAGTGACACTTCAAATAAAATTAAATCAAATGTTAAGTGTGAAAAGTGTACTTTCTTTTGGATGCCACTTAGCAGAATAGAGAAGAAAGTAGTATTGATGTTCAGATGAAGATTCCAGTGACATTAAAACTTTCAGAATGAAACTTCTGATTAGAACTTTCAGGTCTGTCTTATTTTAGGTTTTTAATTTCAACAGATTAACTCTGCAATTCCTGTTTTTCTTCATTCTGCAACATTATCATGTCTAGCTCTTAAACCAGCTGGGACTGGGTACAATGTGCTTTGTCTTATTGATCAAAAGTCTGCTTTTTAAGACTGACTTTTCCAAATTAAGCTGAAAAATTAAGTCTTGAAAACAGAATTATATCAATATGCTAGCATGAAGATAATAGCATAATATTTCTTCTAAAGTATATCACAGAGCTTTCTTTGATCTTCGTGATACTGTTTTATATTCATGAACATCCTTTAAAATATTAGCCATGTCACTTTGATAAATAGCAAGAGTTTTGTTTGCAAGGCCTTCACCTTCTCCCGGCAGGAACTCTTCAAAGTTTGATGAATTTTCGTCTGACAGAGATGCAAGTTATGGGGTACATATGGCCGTAACAAATATCTGAATTTTGTAATCTGTGATCCGTTTGTATTCTCACTCATTACTTGTGCTTTTTCGAATCATAAAGGTAGTGAATATACCTAGCCACTTTGAAAGTTTGATTTTTTTTTTTGTCCTCAGCTTTTTCTTACAATATCCTGTACTGAAATCACACTGCTGAAATTGTTATATGACTTTCACTGTGGCATTGATATTTGTTGTTATTATTTAGAAATATATGAACCATCACCTCATTTTCTAAGGCACTGTATAAATAAGTAGTAAACAGAAATGTAAGTTAGGATTTCAGTGTGTATTCAGTGCTATTAGTCTAATAAGTAAGGTTTCCTAATATGTCATTACTATTTAACTGAATAGTAGCTCCATATCCTAACTATGTAAGTGAGAAAACCTTGAAAAAAATATCCTCTTGAGAATAAAAAAATAGTTCATTCTACGTATACGAGTAAGACTTGATCCAAAAGAGTTCAAAGAAGTTAAAACTGTTCCTTCCCAGCAACTAAGCTAAAATATAAAAGTGTAGAAACTTTCATTGTACACAAAGTTGCTCTGAGTTAAATGTGATTTACTCTGTATGAGTATCCAGCCTTCCATGCATTTTCAAGTATTGTTACAAAGTATATTTATATGCATATGTATTATTTATTAAATACATGTTCCTTATTCATAGATCTCTAAGTAGTTTGTGGAATGAATAAGAAATAACAACCATTTTGCATGCATACATCAGATGCTGAGGAGAGTGAATGATGGAAAAACTCATTTTACTTCTTGGAAAGAGTAATAAAGAATTCATTGCAATTTTCAATAGGCATTCCTCATGATAAACTGTGGTAAATGTGTGAGGAATTCAGCAATATGGTCTGTGGCTCTTGATGGGTATTTTCAGCTACCAGAAGGACTATTGTAGTGTTTCCTTTTTCCTCTTAACCCTGCCTAGATGTTTCAGCAGTCATTTGTAATCAAGTGGCTGTGTAACAAAATTAATGTAATTGGGAGTCGTGCTATAGTACAGCAGGTAAAATGCTGGCTTTTATAAGTCAATGATAGGTATTCACAGATGAGAATTCTGGTGAAAAGGGTGATACAAATGCACTGCTGTTACTGATCAGCTTATAAAGTGTTTCATTGTTTGACTCGTAGCAAGTTGAATGCATTACCAGGAGCTGTACAAAATTTGCAGAGCCAGGTACAGAAAGCTCTTGGAGTCTAAACAGAAAACCAGTTTGAGATGCTTTCTTAGTTTGCCTGTTTCTTTTGTATGTGTTGGATTGGTTTGTTGTTTGGTTGTTTTTTTTGCCTTTCATTATGCTATATATTCTTTTGCTTTGCTTCTAGGGAATAAGCATGATGATGGTACACAAAGTGATTCAGAAAATGCTGGTGCACACCGTCATTACAGTAAGCGGGCAGCACTTGAAGAACACTTAAGGCATCATCATACAGAGCTGAAAAAGTCACACCAGAAAGTGCATTCCACAGAAAAGCAGCAAGAACAAGCCGTTTTAAGTCAGACTGCCTTTATGATTGAGTTTTTTGATGAAGACCATCCTCGAAAGAGACGTTCTTACTCTTTTTCTCAGAACGTAGGAGCTCTGTGCCCAGAATCTCCATCTCCAACACCTCTTGCGCGAGCTGAAAGAGTGAAACCTACGTCAGGGGAGAAAGCAGTCCCTTCATCTGTGCAAGCTAGCTCATCACATCACAGAGCAGTACATGGTGTTCATGCAAAACTTTTAAAACAAAAATCAGAAGAACCCTCTGCTGCGTTACCTGTCTTACAAGCTGCATTGTTAAGGAGTTCAGGAAGCCTTAGCCATAGGCCTAGTCAGAACCAGGAGATGGACAAAAAGTTGAAAAGCCAACATATTTCTGCTGCTACTGAAAAGGACAATGAAGATGACCAGAGTGACAAAGGTACTTACACTATTGAGTTGGAAAATCCCAATTCTGAAGAAATGGAAGCCCGTAAAATGATTGACAAGGTGAGAAACCTAAAACACATACTGATGTTAAAGTGGTGTAAGATGTGTGGGCAACGGTCTACCACTTGAATTCTACGTATTAAAGCTGCTGCAATAATACAAGTTTTTAAGCCAGTCAAGGTTGGTGAAATATGGAATGTCATAAAAGCAGCATCAAGCATTTGACTAAAAATTATTCCTCTTTGATACTGCTGTTCTTTTAGTTTGGTAGTTTTAATGCATTTTCAAAAGATTTAAGTACTGCAAGAATACTGGGCCACAGAATTCAGCTAACTGATATTTTTATGAGAGTTGTTAGATTTGAATTTTTTATGTCCATGTGGAAATATTCACTCATTCTTAGAATCTTGTGGTCTCTGTAGTTTTCAGTATATAAATTGGTTCCATCCAAATTATCATAGAGAAATAGACTGTAAATGTTTTCTGTACTTATAAAATAAGTCTATTCAATAACAGTGACTTAGATTTCAGCAATCGTTATAAAAAGTAAGTATAAGAAGAATGCTTTCATTGTCCAAAAATGTTTATAGGATAGCAATGTCATTTTCCTAGTTTGAATGTAGGTATATGCTTCATTAGACTTAGGAATCTTACGACGACTAAAGAACATTTGATTGTTGGTAACAATACCGATGGCGAAATAAATAACATACAAATCATATTTGCAGTTAAATTACTGCAAATAACTTTTT